CACACACACACACACACACACACACACACACACACACACACACACACACACACACGTGCACGCACACATGACGGCCACTTCATCTCTCTCTCTCTCTCACACAAACACACACACACACGCACACACACGTGTGTGTGTGTGTGTGTGTGTGTGCGAGAGAGAGAGAGAGAGAGAGAGAGAGAGAGAGAGAGAGACTCCGAGAGTGTGTGTGTGTGTGTGTGTGTGTGTGTGTGTGTGTGTGTGTGAGAGAGAGAGAGAGAGAGAGAGAGAGAGAAAGAGAGCAATGAACTGGCCTCCGTGCGAGTAGCCATAGAGGTGCGCTGAAAACATGCACCCTGCCGGTAGGGGCATATGGAAAATTTTGGTGCTGGTACTCAACGGCTATCCGGTAGGGGCATAACAAAAATATTTCAAGCCCAGCCGATGCCGAGGTTTTATGGGAAATTTGAATTATGGTCAGAGGGGCACGACAGGGTAAGTGGGCCGTTGGAGGAGCGTGACGCAAATAATGGAAATTACAGGGGTGCCAGACAAATTTTCTCTTTAGTTTGTAATATATTGTCACAACATATCAGAGCGCAAATGCGGAAAAAAAGGAAAAAAAGAAAAAGAAAATTGAATTCAAATTTTTATCTTCTTCCTTATAACTCCCCCTGTTCAGAACCTCTTGCGTACAAGGCCGCCCACGTGGATGTAGGTTGAGCGGCGGCTGCCCCCACCCCCGTGTCATATTGACCCACTTGCACACAGCCAAAAGGCAGAGAGGCAAAGAAAAGAGGAAGGGAACAGCCAAATACAACAGAACAGGGAGAAACAAACATAAACCAATCCTAGATGACAAGTCCCACATGCAAGCACCGCCCCCACCATCAGGGCCAAACAACGGGACAAGACCAGCCAGGATTCAAAACACCCTTGCCTGCAAACAAACAATCCCAGATAACATACCTTTCGTGCGCGCCAGCTCCAAGAATCCTTTGCGATTGATTTTATTGTTGTTGTTGCAAAAATTGGTACCGATTCAAACTGTCAAGTCACCGCTTCGCTGGTCTAACTAAATTACTGGGACAGCACCGACAACAAGAAAAAACATAAAAGACAATCCTAGATGTCGATTCCCACAAAAAAGCACCGCCCCCCGCACAGGCCGAACAAGGGGATCAACCACCTAGAATGCCAGAAAAAATAGAAAGGACCCCGGCTGACGAGTCCCACATGAAATCTCCACCACGGGGCTCTAACCGTAAGCCGAACGACGGAATTCATTTTTGTTACCTTTTTAACGTCGTCACATACGATTGTGGATACACCCTCTCGCGTCCAAGTCGTTTGTTGAGGTCCTCTAGGGTTTCGTTCGCGTGGTCACATAGCCACCGTCCTCTTGTATGCCCGTCCGCTGCTCCCCATGCCTGCACCACCGCTGGCGGTGGCATTGCCGCCGTGCATTTCCCCCGACGCCATAGCCGTTCTGCGATCACAGCCACCGTCCGCTTGTATGCCTGTCCGCTGCTCCCCATGCCTGCACCACCGCTGGCTGTGGCATTGCCGCCGTGCATTTCCCCCGACGCCATAGCCGTTCTGCAGCGAGCGTGTGTGCATGCTGCTTCGTGTGTGTTTCGTGGCTATCCTGCGCCGTGTGTCGGCGTGCGCTTGCGCGTTTCAAGTTGTCTCACACCTTCGTGTTCGATCACATCGGCACAGGTGTGTGTATGAGGGGAACACCGGCACAGGTGTGTGTATGAGGGAATATGCGTGCGTGCCTCTGCATCTGCGTGTGTATGTTGTTTACTGTGACTGTAGTTTGCTGTTCACTTTTTTTTTTTTTCCGCTTTGTGACTTTGTAGCCAGCGATGGAGAGAGAGAGAGAGAGAGAGAGAGAGAG